AAGTAGTTCTGTTTTGTATGCTTACTTCACTGAATTTTGCTCATCCGTTTACATCATGCGTATTCCATAAGACGCATGATCAAAGAGACAAAGATAAAAGACCAGCTTGACAACTTGTTTATAAATATGTCCTCTTCAAACGAGGAAGTTGATGAAAATCATTAAAAAGATCTCATTTCGACGAAAACTCCAATTTATTTAACCGTCCGCAATCCAGAAGTTACAAAACGATATTAAAAGCCCTTGAGATCGAAGAGCGTCACGGTATCAAAATAGAATTCTTTATCGATAATGTGCATTATCAAATATCACTAGTTGAGAAATAGATATGGGAAGCGGCTAAGGATGCTAATCGATTGCAGAGTGGGGCACAGTAGGTCGAAATATCCAGCTCTTGAGTTACATCTATTTTTAGGACCGCGAGGCTCTTCGGGATCGTTCTCACATTCCTGAGTTGTATTCAACACGTTCTTGCCTACTTTTATAAACGAAAAAAACGCTATCTTATAATTCGCATAAAAATTTAAGTGGTCCGTAAATGTGTTTATTCCACACATGCCACGTATACATATAAAAAGTCTATTCAACATTTAAAAATAATTTTTTCTACAAAAAAGAATGAGTATTATTTTTTATGCCAGATTGGAATTGATCTCTATTTATACAAAAAATTAATTATTGCATACGTTTTTAACAACAATTGGTTTTAATTTTGTAAAATTTTATACACATTCGATCGCATATTAATCGTGTAAACAGAAATGACTTCACTGTTAATACACAGTTATGTGCGTATGAAAAAAAGAGCACTGTGTGTTTAGAAATAGAAAGTGACATTTTATAGAAACTTCTCGGATTTCATTATCTATTAAAATTCCACAGAAATTTAATTCGTGTGTAACGGGCGCCGTAATACGTGACTTGAACTACTGCCAAAAATTTCCTTTACGCATCAAGACTGTAAAGTCCGAAAATTGAAATGACGGTTAGCATAACGCACGTTTTCAGAACCTTACGTATTTCCTTACGTATGCATATAAAATGCATTCGATAAATTTGAAAATTACAAAAGTGTGAAACATTATTATGCAAAAACTTGATTCTTTTGCATTACATATATTTATGTAGAAATTTAATTTAAATTATAATATTCAAAATGCAACATTTTTATAAAGAAAAGAAAAATAATGGACAATTTCACGCAACAGATCCATAAAACTGATGTCGAAATTCTCTCTCATCTAAACGCCTCGTTTGTAATATGAATAAAGCTTTTAATATAGAAACGCTGCGTCCAAAATTAGATCGTCCTATTCATGGTGTGAAGAAATCTGACGTCAAACTACCACTGTGCAAGATACTGTAGCAAGGCGCACAGTGTTACGCGATTTCTTTGATCAAAATGAGAATTGCGAATCAATTATATACATTGCCGACATTTATCTTTAATGATCTAATTTCACATATAATCATATAATACTAATTTATAAAAGTCTAATGTACAACACAACATTTTTTAAATTAAATAGGACATTTTGATAAAAAGAGGTACGTAATTTTATTTTGTTTTGAGAGGAATAATTGTATGATTTATCATCAGTTTTACAAGCTCATTTTTCATTATTGTAGCGATTAATAATTTATTTTAAAACTCAAATTTTTATGTTGTGAATTTTATAGAAAATTTATAAATTTGTATATCGATAATATATTTCATACGGTTTCGTAACGTTGCAGATCGAACGCGAGCGCGCTGACTTAAGCGTGCAAGTCATCCAGCTATCCGAACGTCTCGAAGAAGCTGAGGGTGGCGCCGAATCTCAAGTAAGTAATTTTCTTTTAGATCAACGAAATTATCATGAAAAACTGAAAACAAGCAGCCAATTTAAATTCAACAAAAAGTACAATCTAAGGATTTTTGTATGTAGTTCGAGATTAACAAGAAGAGGGACACGGAACTGGCCAAACTGCGCAAACTACTCGAAGATGTCCATCTTGAGAGCGAGGAGACCGCACATCTCTTGCGTAAGAAGCACCAGGAAGTCGTCGTTGATTTCCAGGATCAGATTGATCAGCTCTCAAAAGCACGTGCCAAGTTAGTAACAAAAACTATTCATAATTAACGAAATTTTTCCCATCGACTAAACCGTAGGACGGTAGACAATTTGCCTCTTAATTATTGCCTGTAGATCCAATTAAATACTTTGAACGTTTCAAATTTAATAAAATGGTCAATCAAGATCAGAGAATTTTAGAAAGCGCGCAAACACATGTACATTCATGATCAAACAACCGCAGTGTAAACGTTTGCTAATCTTCTCTTTGAGACGAGAGCGTGTAAGCGCGTTGCCAGGTAGCATCAATAAACAGCTGGGAAACTGGCCGGAAGTTCGACGCGCAGCAAATAGCAATTCCATGAGGAAGCGTCGCGCAATGTTTGGGGAAAGGAAAGACGCTAAAAGGGAGGAAGCGTAATGAATCACGATGTCACATGAGTAATTATAGCATGGATCGTCACAAACGAGAGTGACTATACGTAAGAAAATTTACGCGAATTATACCAGTCGCACTGGCCACAGTCCAAGCCAAGAAGAGATTCGTAACTGAAATACACGAAGATTCGGTACCCCGGTTCTTCTAAACATAGTCGCCGTTCAAGGCACCGATTCGTATATCGTTCGTACATCGTTCTTGCACGACGTTGACAGTTCTGGAAATGCTGCCGTTAATTAGATCGCTAATCAGCTGCACGACGGAACGTCCGTGACCGCTTTTAGTTTCTTTGCTTTCTATCTTCCGATAGAAAATGGAACGATCGGGGGAAAATAATTTCTCTCTCAGACATCCGCCCACGCAGCCTACAAAGCTTTTTGCAAAAGAAAACTTTCTCTAAAAGATATTACTTGTTTTTTTTTTTTTTAATTGAAATAATGTATTTAGATTTAAATATATTTAAAGCACTTTTTAACCAGACTAATTTTAATTTTAACATAATTAAGTATATAATTATTTAAAACGCATATCATAATCTTAAATTCTTACATTGTGTTTATAATATTTATATTATGCTGTTATGACGAAAATCTATTAAAGGAATATGATTTTTCAAATGTGATCCTAAAGCAGTCGACACATAGCTGCCAAAAATAATAATTAATCACACAACTGCTACTAAGATCCAACTAACCACGCACGTGATATCAAATATAATCGTCTGATTATATTCTCCTCGTGATTTCATCGTCATTTATAAATCATGATTACTCATGCAACTGTAATAATTTGGTCGAATTTTCGAACATATAAAAACAAATGTACAAGTAACACTTAACACATCTTCATTTTCGCAACAATTGTACGAAATATTTTTCGATACTTGATATCCCTATCATTATTTATCATTATCTAAAAATTTCAGCTTGTCCTAGTTTTGAAAAGTATTTTTCATTATGTCAAGTTTAGCGCCATGCAAAAAGAAGTTTTTATCTGCTGGTAAAATTAGAAATAAGAAGGGGGTTGAAAATTATGAGTCTCAATGTAATTACATAATTTAAGTTTCTCTCTTCTTCTCAATGTAAAAAACACACTGTCTTTCTCTATCACACCGTGTTTCTCTTTCTCTCTTTGTCTTCCTTTTGCTCACACAGTTACTCGGCTTATGACTATTTTTAACTGTCGAGTCGCGCGGCAATCCACAACCCCAACGTTGGCGCGCCCATATTAGTACACACGACCGGTCCGAATCCCCACTATCCCCAGAATCGACTAACCGACACCTTACACCCTCAATTGCGTGTAGGTGTAAATCTAGTATCAGCCAAATTTTTTCATATAATCTCTAAAATTATGTACGCTTTCATCAATACGCGTATTGCGCATAAAGAAAACGCACTTGATACACAAAAGGTTACACTTTTTGAGATTTACTTTGTTTTGTAGAGCATTATTAATTTCAATTCTATTCATTCAAATGTTTTTTTTCAACTGTTGAATATTACTGACGTATTTCGTAAATTTTTTAAATCATTTGAAAAAAATAAAAGTTGTCAAATATTTCACAGTTTATTTCGAGTGGAATATTATTTTGACGCCTCAAAAATTGCGCTAAACATGCATATATTTCTCACGTTTATTTAATTTACAAATAATTTCTTCAATCAATGATAAAAAAGGCAATAAGAACAAAAAGTGTGCTTGTCGAAGCGTAAGAACTATTAATTATTGTTAATTAACTTGCTTTGTTATGCTTGACATGTTATATTAATAATAATTTCTTTACATAAAATATTATTTTTATATAAAATACAATCTATAAATTTAAAGCGTTTTTTTTTATCAAAACAAATTTGTGATTTCAGGGCTGACAAGGAAAAATCTAAATTCCAGCAGGAAGTGTATGAACTCCTCGCTCAACTTGACAGTGTTACTAAGGAAAAGTTCCTGTCAATAAAAACAGTCGAGAAACTCGAAATTCATGTATCTGAGTTGAATGTCAAAATCGAGGAATTAAACCGTACAATTGTTGACATCACCAGTCACAAAACTCGGCTATCTCAAGAAAACATCGAATTGGTCAAGGAAGTACAAGATCTCAAGGTAAATATTTTATAATTTAAGATATAATTATATTTTATAATCTGCTACAAATCACTAATTATTCAATTAAAATTCTAGGTGAATATCGAAAACGTTACTTACTTGAAGACGCAAATCGTGGGTCAACTCGAAGATGCCCGCCGTCGTCTTGAAGATGAGGAACGTCGTCGCTCGTTGGTGGAGGCTTCATTGCATCAGGTATAATTTAACATATTCACAATCAATTTTTTAACAGTACTCTCAATATATAACTTGTGTATAGTTTTTCCGTCATATAAACTAATGATTTTGTATAAAAAAAAATAATGGAAAAATGAATAAAATTAGCTATTTTGTATTTTTGTGGTAAATATTAAAAAATTTCTAGGTACGCAAAACAATTTGTTAACTAAAAGAAACTTATATTCCTTGTGAAATTGATCAAATAAAATTACATAATTATTAATACGAATCAATAGGTCGAGGTGGAATTGGAGTCTGTCCGCGTCCAGCTCGAGGAAGAGTCTGAAGCGCGTTTGGATATCGAACGTCAACTGGTCAGGGCTAATGGAGAAGTGTCAGTATGGAGATCAAAATACGAAACCGAGGCCAATGCTCGCGCCGAAGAGGTAATTAATATTTTTTTCGTAAAAATATAATTACGTCAAAACAAATTAATAAACTCTGCAGCCTCCATATTTATTTTTCTTATTTCCCTTTTATAATACAATTTGAAAAAATCTCAAATACAAATAAAGTTTTTAAATAATTTTATATAGGTAGAAGAACTTCGCCGCAAATATTCCGCTCGCATCCAAGAACAAGAAGAACAAATTGAAACCTTACTTGTGAAGATCAACAATCTTGAGAAGCAGAAATCGCGCCTGCAATCCGAAGTAGAGGTTCTGATCATCGATTTAGAGAAGGTAGGATTCTATTATGCTCCATTGTTACTTTCTGCATTTTTCAGTTTTCTGCAAACATACCTTTAAAAATATTCTATTATTTTTCAAAAAAAATTTTACTCATATTTTTGTTTTCTTTTTAAGGCCAATGCAACTGCTCGCGAACTTCAAAAACGCGTTGAACATCTCGAGAAGATTAACATAGAACTGAAAACTCGCTTGGATGAATCTCTCGCCTTGTATGAGCAAAGCCAACGCGATCTCCGCAACAAGCAACAAGAACTGCAACGCGTAAATGCCGAACTCGACAAGACCCGAGAATTGAAAGATCAACTGGCCCGTGAAAATAAGAAACTTGGAGGTAATTGTCAACGTTCTTTCTCTTATACAATCTACATTCCAAACTTATAGCAGCACTGATTAACGTCTTGAATAAAATAGATATACTCTTTATAGAGTAGAAAGTAAGGATTAAAAAATTTTGATTGTGAAGAAATTTCTTTAATTTTAATTATATTTCTGCAGATGATCTTACCGATGCTAAGAATCAATTGGCTGACATGAACCGTAGACTTCACGAATTGGAGCTGGAACTCCGCCGACTGGAGAACGAACGCGAAGAATTAGCTGCCGCTTACAAAGAAGCTGAAGCAGTAAGTAATCACTTATGTTAATTCTATTCTCTATAAATACTATAATGTTATTTAAAAATACACTGCTCCACAAAAATATAGGGAACATTTTTCAGATGCTCAAAATCGAGAAATTTTTAAACCATTGAAACTCAGCGAAAAATCATCGCAGTAAAAAAATTGAAAAAGTATTTTCATGTGCTTTAGACTTTAGACTAGTCTTTGGAAATTTTTTATCTTTGCATTTCTAAATCAAAAAAACATTGTTCTTAAAATTACGTATGTTCAACATTCTGCAGCTTGATAAAAAAAATTTTCTCGCAAAATTTATGACAAGTGTCAGAAACTACAACATTTTACTTGCAAAACGAGTTTGCTTAAATTTTGTCACAATTTTTTTTTTTTTTTGACCAAATTACACGCATGCACGCACGCAATTACATGCATTGAAGCTAAACCTGGATTTTTTACGCTAACGCTATTGTCAATGGTAAACGTTATTTTTCACAAAATGTTGATTTTAAAATCACTCAATAAAAACAATCGTAGCAAAATTTAGAAAAACGTGTTTTTTTTTATAGGTAAAATGTTGTAGTTTTTGACATTTATCATAAATTTTGAGAGAAAAATTTTGTTATTGACAACAAAACAATGTGTTCTTTTTTTTGGACTCAGAAATGTGAAGATAAAAAATTTTCAAAAAACGATCTAAAGCACATAAAAGTACAAATTTCAAGCTTTAAAATGCTTTTTTATCTTTTGTCTACGATAATTTTTTCTCAAGTTACAGCGGTTTAAAAATTGCTAACTTTTAAGCGCCCAAACGTCTCGACGCGGTAGAGCAGTGTGGCCAAAAGCTGAGTGCGGATTATTAATACGGCATCGTGCGCATTAATGGCGCGTACTCAACCGTTCTCAGCCGCACTGCTTTGCCGCATCGAGACGTTCAAACGCTTAAAATTTAGTAATTTATAAACCACTGTAATTCAAAAAAGTAACACAAAAAAGTATTTTAAAGCTTGAAGTTTGTACTTTCATGTGCTTTCAGTCATTTCTAAAAGTTTTTTATTTTTACAGTTTTGAGCTCAAAAGAAGAATACACTTGTTTAATTTGGCCAAAAGAAATCGTTGGAAAATTAAAAAAAAACACGTTTTTACAGATAAAATGTTGTAGTTTTTGACACTTGTTATAAATTTTGCGAGCAAAAATTTTTTTATCGAGATGCAGAGTATTGAACGTACACGATTTTAAAAACAAAACAATATGTTCTTTTTTGGGCTTAGAAGTGTAAAAAATTTTCAAGAAACTGTCTAAAACACGTGCAAACTTCAAACTTTAAATTTTTTTACCGAATTTTAGCGATTTGATAATTGTTCGATTTGTGCATTTGAAAAGTATTCTCTATTTTTTGTGAAGTAAGAATATAAGAATATTAGCGGAGATATATAGATAAATTACAGCTGTTGCAAACATCTATAACGTAGAATATTCACATAATAAAAAAAAATATGTAATGCAAAATTGAAAAATTTGATTTAGGGCCGCAAAATAGAAGAGCAACGTTCTCAAAGATTGTCAGCTGAATTGAGCCAATTACGTCACGAGTACGAACGTCGCATTGCTGAAAAGGACGAAGAGATTGAAATCATTCGGTAAGTTTTTAAAAATCATTACTTTCATTTTTCATCACACGTACTTTTTTGATAAATATATTAGTAATAATTTATTTATTATTTTTAATGACAATTCAGAGATTTTATGTAGACTTTTTACTACTAATTCCTTACTATTATATTTTCTATTTTGGATCTATTAATTTTTTTTAGTTAAAATTACATACTTCTTAGAAAATAAAGCTATATTTAATTTTAAATAAGATTTACATTGTTTCAACCTGGGATTAAGAGAAAGAAAATAATTTTTATAAACAATTGTTTATATGAAAAAGATACTTTGTTTGAACAGATTTATTTAATTTTTAATATAAAATTATACGTACTATATTCGCGCGTGTATGATAATTTTTGACATTCTAATTTCTTTATGTTAATATAATTAATAACACTAATCGCAAGAAAAAAATCTAAATGTTATTTTAAGTATTTTAAGTATATTTTAAGCTATCACAGCACTTTAACCTGTGACGTAATCAATTTTATATCATGCGACTAATGCATACTCAATAGTGCTATTATGAGTATGCACAGTGACATGCAGTTAAATTAATCAAATGATTAATTCAAACAGTTAATTATAATATGATGTATAATTACTTATTTATATGAAGAGTTGAAATATTACATTAATACTAATTGTATTATTCGGTTTTCGTGGTGTTTACTTAAATATTACGAAAATATTGCAAAAGTGCATCATATCAACATTTATTACTGACATTATCAAAAATTTAAAAAAATATTTAAAAGCTAAATTTAATTTTAAAGTCAAATTAATAAATAGAAAATACAGATTAATAAATGTATTTCACGTAAAAGTATTGATTACACTTTAAAAGTTTGAAATTATATGAGAAATAATAATCTAATTATGAGCCTTGATTAATATTATAAATATATGATAAAATAAAATAAAAGAAATGTATAGAAGTAAAAATAGGGATTAATATTATTGAGGGCATACAATGGCAACTTACATGACAGAATGGTGCTATTAATAAGTACAGTGAATCTGATCAGTCATGATCTAATTATTATTGAGAGATGCTGATTGGTTGTCTCCGATGTGGCAATCGCGGCGAAAATTATAAAAGATACCTCCTTACCATCAGCCCAATTTTTATCGATAGTCGTGTCGCATTGACACTAGTAGATCAGTCTACAAAAATCACAAATACTGTCTCAAAAAATCCGGCACATTACATGAACTAAAAGATTGATAATTATACTTCAATCGGATTTAATCAAGCAAGTAAGAAAAATTTTAACAGACGCCGGTCTCAACGATTTCTTTACACTAAATTGTCATTTCTTATTGTCGCAGATCTTTAGATTATTCGTGGTAAAAATAAAATATTTGTGTGGCTATTTAAGATTTTTACCACAAATGGCAGGTTACATGCCACCTATTCATATGCCGCTGGAGTCGAAATGGCGACATTATCCGACATACATTTACGATAAAAATTACGGCTACGGTATGAATTACTATCAGCCAATGATCGATTACATGGATACTAAGCGACTCCTTAAGCAATCGAGCACCTCGTCGGTGTTTGAAAAAAGACTAGAATTGCCCGAATTACCCTGGTCTGACGGTAAAGTCTTATGGGAGAACAAAAGGGTGCAACCCTATACAAGAGACGATCTCATTAAACACGCGATCGACGCCGAAGATGAGGCTAGAGATCATCTATCACGCTTCAAGGTACGATAATAGCGAAAGAGGAGAGAGAGTAAACCTCCGGGAACATCAACAAATACAAGGCGATCCGTTTTCCGAGTGCTGCGCGACTTGGCGACTGTCTGACCTTTTCGGTTTCTAAATTTGGTGCCGCGGAAAAGGCTGCCACGTTTCGAGTGGCAACGATCAAAGACGCTGCGCACGAATGCCGTGCGTAAATTCACGTCATCACTGAACTGTATTTTCTCGTTTTGCAATCTGCTCTTCCCCGTTCTTTGTGTTGAAGTTGTTTTTATCTAATTTCCTCGTTGTATCGACAAAATAGACAAAATGGACCGGTTGTTTAATATTATTTATACTTTTAAATTTTTTGTTTCACACTAGTATTTTCATCATTAAAAAAATTGGAAAGAACTTAAAAGAAACTTAGAAAAACTTTTTTTAAAGAAATTTGTATTACGACATTGTTCTAATTAACATTTTACTGATCGAAATAATATCTCTCTCGTATTTGTGTCCCTTCAAGAGCAATTATTTATATTTCTCTAGTGAGTTCTAATATTTGCCCCATTTAAAGTTGCGTCAATCACACGTGTGGTATGTGTTTTGGCATTGCTAATATTTGGCGATTGAACATATTGTCTTCTCTAAAAAATGACCAATTATATTTTTAACACGAATGATGGATGTTTTAGCATTCTTCAAAATACAAAATTTGTCTATAACGCAAAATAGATTCTAATAAACATGATGCATTCTAAGAATAAATATTTTCTTAGACAATTTGTTGGAAAAACTTTCATTCTGCACCGATAGCTTAAAGAGTCTGACCAACCAGTAAAAATATCGCGGAAGCGCTATGAACGCTTTCTTGGCACCTCATTATTTGGACCATTCCTTACAGTTCTGATCGGAACAGTCTGCCAAGTCGCGAGATAAAAAATCCATCTCGTGTCTCCCGGGCGAAAGGGACGCTAGGTTTCGGCAATGTTCGGTGCATTGGCAGTCGCTCTTGAGTCTCTAGAGAGAGTCGGTCGCGAGTGGCCCGATCACTTTCGCATTCTGGACCGCTGCGGCTAAGTTTAGGCGGCCGCGTCGCGTGAGTGTGCACAACGGAAAACGGCGGCGCCCGATAGACGCGCCCGTGTAGAAAAGCGCGAGCGGTGCAAAAATTAAAACTGACCGTCTGTCTACCTAACGTGCCCGAAGATAGCGAATCGCTCGGACTTTAGCTTGGCCAAAACCGTGCACGCCAGTCGCGTGACCAAGGAGATCCTTCCACGCACCGGAGAAAAACTGAGAAGACTGCCGATGCCGCTGATGTTCACCAGCGTTCGTACCGCCCGCAGCGAGGCGAAGGAGATCCAGCAAGAAGCGTTGAGCGACATTAAGCTGCAGGCCCTCAAGGACGTTCAAACTATGACCGAGGTGCAGGACGCGCTGAGCCACGGTAAAAGTCTGCGGGGAAAGTCCGCGAGAGCAATAGAGTTCCAATTAAGGGCGGAGGCCCTGAAGAACCTGTCCAAGAGCCAGGAATTAGCCGACATCCGGAAATTCCAGAGGGAAACTGTGCACTCCCTCTGGGATGACAAGGAACATGGCAGGCTGATGGACGAGAGAACCAAGGCTCTGATCGACGTGGATAAGCTGACGCAGCCGCTTAATTCACTCAGCAGGGAATTGCGTGGATTCGAGCAGAAGTCCAGCAATTATTTTCTAGATAAGAGGTACCGAGATCGAGCGAGACGAGAACTTTTGTATGGCTGTCGAGGATGCGAGTATTACAATGTTAAGCGTGGTAGATAAGTAAGCCTTTCTGACTGAATTCTTAGTAACGCGAGAAAACACAATAATATCTTGATTAAGAAAGGTAGAAAAACGCTAAAATAAAATAAATGATTTCGATAGTCGGCATTTGTTCTTATGCCTAGCAAAAGTTTATCGCTTTTATGGTTCCTTACATTCTGAAATTTCCCCTCTTCTCCCGTAAAATTATATGTAATTTAATGCCAAATAGTATTAATTTTTTTTAAACATAAAATTGTATTAAAAATGTTATTTTATTTCTAATGTGTTTCTGATTCGTAAGTGTGAAAATAAAGTGGAGAATTAAATCCCAGGATGGATCAAGTAAATCGATGAAAATATAACAAATAAGAGAAAATACAAAAAATCTCAAAGTTGTCATTAATTAAGTGTGATTGCTGACAAAATTCCTGATAATAGAAATTTTAGAATTGTATTCACAATAATGCTTATTAATAGAAGAAAGCTATTCGAGGTGTTTAAATGAGATGAAATTAATTAGTAAACAGACCAGCATCGAAATCGAGCAACTGAACGCCCGCGTAGTGGAAGCCGAAACGAAGCTGAAGACCGAGGTTCAGCGTGTGAAGAAGAAGCTTCAGATCCAGATCACTGAACTCGAATTGACCCTGGATGTAGCCAACAAGAACAACATCGATCTGCAGAAGACCATTAAGAAACAATCCCTCACTCTAACCGTAATATCGATTCTTACGTTCGTTAACGCGTTCAATGTCGTCATGTACATATTGAATAATCTTATTTTTTAGGAACTGCAAGCTCATTACGACGAAGTACAGCGCCAATTGCAGGTGACCCTGGACCAACTGGGCATCAGTCAACGTCGTCTCCAATCGTTGACATCCGAGCTCGAAGAGATCCGCGGCAACTACGAATCTGTACGTATGCAACTGATCATTGATAGAAATTAATTATATTGCAAAATGTTCGGAACGCGTCAATTTATTTTCTGGAAAAACAACAAATAGATATCATGTGATTTATATAAGTATTACGCAATAGAACTATATAAAGCTATGAAAACATTGTGCTTGAAAGGCTCTGCGCGCAAAGAGGATCGTCGAGCAGCAATACGAGGAATCGGTCAGCCGTATTAACGAGCTAACCACGATCAACGTAAACATCGCTTCATCAAAGGCTAAAATCGAGCAGGAATTGGCTACACTGGCCGGAGATTACGAGGAAGTCACCAAGGAGTTGAGAGTTAGCGATGAGAGATACCAAAGAGTGCAGACCGAGCTCAAGCACACTGTCGAGATTCTTCATGAAGAACAGGAACGTATTGTCAAGATCGAGGCTATCAAGAAATCGCTCGAAATTGAAGTGAAGAATTTGTCTGTGAGATTGGAAGAAGTCGAGGCCAATGCCATTGTTGGAGGCAAGCGCATCATCAGCAAGCTCGAGGCCAGGGTGAGAGAATGAAACTTTTCTAATTCAAAATATCACATTTTTCAGAATAACAATGTATTAACAAAATTAACAAAATTTTGTTGGAATATAAAATTTGCTCTATGTGTAAAAATATTTTTAAGAAATTTACTACATCTTTATAAATCTCGCTATAGATTCGCGATCTGGAACTCGAGCTTGACGAGGAGAAACGCCGACATGCTGAAACCGTGAAGATTCTGCGCAAGAAGGAACGCAACATTAAGGAAGTAATGATTCAGGTTGAAGAAGATTCGAAGAACATCTCATTGCTGCAGGAGGCACTCGACAAGACCAACCAGAAAGTCAGCATCTACAAGAGACAGCTGCAGGAGCAGGAGGGCATGTCTCAGCAGAGCGTCACCAGGGTCCGCCGATTCCAGAGAGAACTCGAGGCCGCGGAAGATCGCGCCGACACGGCGGAGAGCAACTTGAGTCTGATCCGCGCCAAACACCGCAGCTTTGTCACCACCTCAACTGTGCCCGGTTCCCAGGTGTACCTCGTCCAGGAGACGAGGCAGGACATCTCCTAAGCCACTATCGTCATCGCAATACCTTACCCTTGCCAATTCGAACGTCGCGTCGTCACCTTTATAAATGTATGTGTAATACACAAACACCTATATCTATAATAAAGTAAGATAATTTAATTTTTTTAATATTTAATCATATATTTGAAAAGTAAAAGAGAGAAGAAACCAAAGCCTTCCTGATGATCGGACGAAACTAATAAACGAAAAAAAAAACATTTTTTAAGTATTAGATTGGCGCAAAAATAATTGCGATTTTTGTTGATGGTTAAAAACCGATTGAAAACAAACCAATCATTTTTGTACCAATCTAATGGAATAAAAATTTAATTTAAGATTTTATTTTAACAGGCGCCAAGAATATACTATAACGAAAAAAAGAAAAAGACGCGACATCAATCATCATAAGAGCCGAGAGTTTTCAACGGGCCGCACGGTGTGTTGTTTTCGAGAAGTTAAATTGGAGCAATCAAGATATGTGCCTATATATTGATGCGAATGCAGTACTTACCGTCACACGTAACGACCCGTCGTAAATTCCAAATTGCTTGGCCAAAGAGAGGCGATACGTCGTAACGTTAAAATAAAAGAAAATTAATGCTCATTATTTAAGAGATCCGCGCAAAATATCGAAATCGAAAAATCATATCATTCAATGAGTGAACAATCAAATCTAACCATCTTCTCGTCCCAATTTTGTGCTTACAATTGAACATAACGGCAGAAAAAAATGTGGATATAAGAAACACGAGAAGAGGGCAATGGCAATTATGTCATTCTATTTGCACGTGTCGCAATTGTATTTAAATGGATAACTTTAATTCTATTCTATTACTACATAGATAGGTAACTATTGCCCATATACACAACTCTCACTGTACAACATACACAATAACCTGTGTCAACATTAATTTAATAAATAAACTGAAATGCGTACGTACGAAGACGCTTGTGTGTTTCATATCTCTTCAACTCTCCCCCACGCTTCTGACAAACGTATATAATTCTAAAAGATTTCATCGGTAAAGGATGTTTTGCAAGCTTTGTATAATTAAGAAAATCAATCATCGCGCGCGCGCGCAAAAATTTATCATCTTATGCTGGAAGTAGAGATATCGACTGTTAAACTCTCTAAAATATCTACGTAAAATTATTACTGTATTTTTCCACATTTTTCTATTATTATTCATTTATTATTCAATTATTGTTTATAAAATTTAATACTGGTAAAAGGTATGAAAAAATACAAAAAGGAGTACATTAAAGTAAATTTAATTTATTCGAGCTAATTATTTTTCGGACCACTATGGCGTTTATTAGTAGGATCCGTTTAAAAGCGAGATTCGTGAAGCCCAAAACGTATGAGAATCTCATTTGTAATCATGCACCTGCAAGTCCCTCATTTACTTTGTCAAATTTTTCTTGCTGAATGATTATAACAATTGATACATAACACACAATGATAAAACACTATTCCTATTCTCATACGTTGGGCTCCAACAATCTCGCGTTCCCAATTACAAATCAAGAATTAATAATAATTAATAACATTAGGTACGTATATCTATTAACAGTATAAAGATCCATCCACACCGCCAGGCACGCTTTATACAGCGGCAGTAATTAATGGTTGATTAAACAAGTCACCGGTTTCTGTTTTATAAATCGTAGAAAATTCGATTCTAATAAAAAATGAGCGTATTATAAAGGATCGTAGATTGACGTACTATTTATCTATGATTAACGAATAAACACAGAACAATCTCGATAAAACCGATTGCTGTATTCGAGTTACGAGAGACGAGAGATATATAATATTGCGATGATTATAGAAAACGGTAACTTATGTGATCGTCGATGTTCTCGCATACTCGTGTGTGGCCTCTATTATAACACTATAGATCGTTTCACTTCGAGAAAATATAAGCACTTCAGTCTTTCAAATATGTTTCAAATCAAAAATCTTTCTAGCAAAATGTGAGCCATAAAAAGAGCTGTTGCTTTTCATTTTCGACATACAGTAATAAATTTGCGGCTTAATGTATTTTACTTTTAAATATAATTAATGCATTCGGCAATATTCGATATTTCAAACAACCCTTGATATAGATTTTATTCCACCATAAACCTCACTTTGTATCAACGTTGAAACTCTCGGACTTATTATTCCTTTATCCTTATTGTTAGGACCCGATAATATCTCGCAAATTTCTTTCATTTTGAGATAAATCTTTAACAGCAGCAACCTTCTGTAACACAACTGTATTTATCGCAATATATTTGAGGGTAGATGTAAAGATAGAAGAGACTCGATATGCCCGTTACGAGTAATCAAAGAAAAAACGATACCATTCACCAACTCACCCATTGTTACGAAAATTACAAGTGCTCGCCCTATTCATATGTAAGTTGTTGATGAACATTTACACCATTATATACAGAGTATTATACAATGAAATGAGAAACACAGAGAATAGAAATGATGGTGTAGCAATGACGAATCAATGAACTTATCATTGACAATAATATTACAATAGTATTATATACTAGATATTTCTAAAATAATAACATACTTAAAAAGAAACAAAGAGCTAATCATGTTTACCAGCAACATAATTTCGAATTTCTTATTCCTTTTTTACCATAATTTTTGCGCTTGCGTTAAATAACAAAATAAAATAAGTGTAGAAAATTTAGAAAATTCCAAACATAGAATAAATTAGTAAAATTATAATAAATTTGTATAATTTAGAATCTTGCCGTAAACATACCTTTTTGTGATTAAATAAATATTCGAAACTCTATGTAATACATTCAACACACTTGCAAGAGCTGATTTTTTTTAAATATAAACAACACTACAAAAGAACAAACAACACAAAATGATAGAATAAAAAAGACTAACTACAAACAAAATATTCTAATTATTATTAAAAAAACACTTGATAAGATAAAGGAGAATAAATAGAATAAGAGCTCTTTGTTCGGAGGTTTCGTAGTCATTCAAAATTCCCGACATTTCTCTCCTTTAAACATTCCAAATAAATGAAAAATATTTTTGGTCTATGAACCTTCAGCGATCGCTAATTAACTTATTTGTATAATATAATGCATGATGTCATCAAATAAAAAATCGCCTTGTTCTGATTAAATCGTTAGACACAAATGATCACTTTTCAGAGTTAAAACATTCAACTTCTCGTCAGACGCACATCATATAATTTTTCTATCAAAATCAGCGTATTTCTGTCAATTTTTAATCAATAAAAAAAGAGAAAATTTCTTTCACGTGTGGCACAATAAATCAATTGTATACAAACACTTAACAATAAAATGCAGCAACGAATTATATTAACCTTTAAATTAAACTTTTAGATTTGATTTCAGACTAAACGTTTGTAAAGTCAAATTTTACGAATACAGATGTTAGTTTGCAACTTCACAATCCTCCTTTTTTTTTATCAGAAAATAAAAAATCTAATATACATTTAGTACATAATTTCCTAATTTCATATATGTAATACGCAAATAAAATACATATAAAATAAAAAATATCAGAACAATGCGACTTTCCTCGACAACAAGCTTCTCCTTCCGACCGGTAATTGTTATAAACACTGGTATCATCTAAAGCAAAATAGACGGTAAATCGCCTTAAAGGTACAAGTTTCGTCTCTCTAGCGGAATCGATGCAGGCGTAAATGCCGCGTGTGCAACGTTCTCTTCTAATTTATTGTTACTCTTTTGTACAAGTGTGTGAGGGGGTTGGGAGGGGGAGAGGGCTTAAACGGTAAGGAGCGGAAAAGGGTGCGGAGGATGAAATATCATTTGGCAGTTCGGCATTTGTCGGATATGAATCAGACTGTTCGATGATTCGCCGATCCAGTTGCAACCTCGATAATGCGACTGATATCAAAATGAGTTCAGGAGTGACGTCGACGTCGTCGCTCGGAAATATATAGTATGCCACAAAAGTACTCTCTTGATTGTTAACTTTGAACAATTGATATTTTCTTAAGGCAAGTATTTTATATATTTATTCTTATTAATAGAGATCTTACAAAATTTTTCATTAAAAAAAATATCAATCGATTAAAGTCAACTATTGCAGATATACAAATACTTTTGTAATATATTTGCGGTAAACATTAGTGTGTAGGAAGGAAAAATATCTCCGTTTCTGCATTTAAACTTTGAATCTATCAAATTGATGTATAATCTGAGTTTATCTGATTTTCTCTGCGTTGCATTGAATCCTTTGTAATTAAATACGTGTAAAATAAAAGACATCCATTCTCACAAGAAACTAGTGATCTAATTCCATTTTGCGATATTCAGTCCTTAATCCTGAGGACTGAGATATTAATATTCACAAAACATTCGTTATATTGGTATAGTAACGCTCGCGAGAATCTACGTCGAAGATATTTTTCCTCGTTTGAACGCGAGTGGGGCAATTCGTGGGAATACACAACGTATATTATTATTATCTGTTTCTCGCGCTTTAGTTAACATTCGATCAGATATTGGCACAAAGAGTTGTACTAGCAGTATGGAAACAGCTGCGGGGCAAACATCGGTTTAACTTGCGATACGTCAACAGATTTTCGAGCACAGTAGATAGGTATATAAAAACATCACTGCAAAGCGTCACCGATGCGTAGGCTATCGTTATTTACGTATAAATTAATCTACATGTCATAACAGGAATGTGTGGGAGCGAGTAAAAAAAAAACGAGGCTCCGCATTCGAAGCGAACAATTCTTTCAGACTCGCGTGGTACATGTGTGTAATGTCGCTGGTAACTTTCGGTTTATAGCCGAACAAACATTCCCGAATCTCTGTTAACTAAATCTAGAATAAAGCTTATGATAAAAATTTCATAAGAATAAATTGACCAAAACTTCATCCTACGGAAAAAGAGTCAAAAATGTAAAAAATATCTAAATATGTTTAAGACAGCTCAGTCTTACTTCTATTATCAGAAAGATAGAAAACAGAAAATCGCTACAGAAAGTCGGTTTAGTTCTTTGAATATAAATTTTATAATTGACAATAGAAACACTGTGTCTTCGAAAAAGAGGATAAAGTTACAACAATAATGAAAAAAAGAGATAAAGATTTAGAACTCAATAATGTGATTTGTCTAAAATCTCAATCATGATTAAGAACATCGAAGAATCAGCTGCACGATTTCGTCTACTAAAAGTAATCGGAAGAAAATCGATTTCTAACTTCAAGTTAGCGAATTCATAAATAAAACTATTGTAGATGCTAGTCTCTTAGAGTCACAGCTATTTTTAAAAAGTGAGAATAAATAAAAGTCTAATTTTAACCTTAATTATTCATTATCCACTAGTCGAACATTAGATTCTCAGTCTTTCGGTAAATTGCAATCCGCGACGAGCGTGTAACGTCACTCCTCTACAATCGAATCGTATGATCCATTGTATTTCTCATCTTGTCTTAGGAAAAAGGAAAAGGCATTTCCTGAATGGTGATGAACTTAATTTTTAGAGAAATATTCTGTTGATCGTCCTTACATCTCTATCACGTTATTAATTATCGCGTCACTACAGTGCAGATTATTCTTAACTCTCGTTATCAATTTACGCAATTAATCTAACGTAAACAAATTATTACTTGTTTACGTTAAATAATTACGTAAATCGAGAATTATCTGCACTGCTTTGTATTAAAAACTAGGTACAGAACGCGCAGATGATTATGCAACTGGATCGGAAGGTTGCGAGCGTGTAAAAACGGAAGAGGAAAATTAGTGTGACGTTCAACTGACGTCATCGGTAAAAAACAATACAAAAATACGATTATGTATTCGAAGGACCCTCCGTTTCTCCGTCTATAATATAGTAATAATTGTAATCTCGCAGACTTTTATGTTGACTATTGGATGACGAAGATTCTTATGTTTCTGTTCTCTTGGATTCTGCTTCACGCGACTTTGCTCACGCTTATTATCTTTCACTCCGAATAAATCGTCTTTCCCTTTCATTCCATCAAGGAAGTATACACTATACACTATTACCAATGTAATCAATTATCCGCAAAAGAAGAGGAGATTCCCTTTTTTGTCTTCGTCGATAAACAGAGTAGGAAGCAGTCTCTCCCGTTCCTTGCCGATAATTATAACTTGTTTCGCAAAGAAACATCCCATACGCATACTCTCCTCTCTTTCTCTCATCGCATTCTCGCGGTATACCAAATCTATATACCTATCTCGAGCACTACGATTGCTTTTCAACTCACTGAAATACAGCGTGCAGATTTATAGAAACAAAATTATTTCGAAATATTCATTTTTAAAAATGTACAAAGTAATTTGCGTTTCCGCAAATAAACCATTCAGCTTTTTTTAACATTGATTGTATAACACGCACATTAACACAATTCGATAGAAATAATCCCAAAAGCACTTAAATGTGATTATGCTAGAAAGAACCAACTTGAAATTGAATTAATAATTTAATTAATTTTCTGAAATCTAAGTACGTATAAAGATATTTGTCTACGAACTGCTCTATTATTAAAAAATTACGTTATTAAAATTATACAGTAATGAATCGAGACGAATCGAGACGTTTCGAGAAGTCGCTTAAAATATCTACAAGTATGTTTGTTACATCAGTTGGTTCTTTCTTGCCCAACTGCATCCGTTCGTCTAAAAAATACTTAATCTCGATACTCATCTTCGCTGTATTTCGTGCCTATCTCTCTCTTTCACACGAAAAAATTCCCGAAAATATAGATTCTCCAATGATTCTCTTTTTATCGAATTTGTCCTTTCGCTCCTTTCTCTCTTTTTCGTATCAGTTGTAGTCCAGCTCCTGGCACATTTTTGCACGTTTTCCATACGCTGGTGTACACCTTTTACGCTATGATACACGCGCACTTGAGCTTAGCATCTTTCAATTTCAACCTTCCTGCATTTCAAAGAAAACATGCTTTTCTGCGGCACCATTGCGCATCGTGCTCGTCTTTTGTGTCATTACGCAAAAGTATTCGTCTTGAGCAAAACATTCGAACATGTGTCTACTACGTCTATTAAGAGTATACGTATAGGGTTGACAAAACCGGACGATGCGCCGAAATTCCGCGATATCTCACACACAGGGGGAAAAGGGGACATTCTCATTAATCAAGTGTTATCATATTCGAGATCAAAGTTTTGTTGAACGTTTGCAAAAGACTTTTCATTTTCAATGAGAATAACGCCTCGTTCAATTTGTCCGATAAGCCATTAATCAATTGTCCGGTTTTTTTTTATCTACCCTGTATAATTTAACCGACGAACTCGGCACTCTTTTCAAGAGGAAGGGAAACCAAAAGATATGCATTTCTCTTATAACACGGTGTATGGTTTATGCTCCCCAATATGATTCCAGTCTCTGCACATGCATCAGTAAAATAGCGAATCTGTGCGGTGAATTTTCGGAATTCAGATGGAAAAATATTATTCCGTACATTGGAGGCCTTTCTCGCGTATGATCTACCGACTCGTCCAAACGGAGCTGAGCTGATACGTTTAAAATCTCGATGTCCCCGTTACTTCCGGCGAATTGATGTACTCGCGCGAATGCGTCGATCGTCTTACTGAGGTAACTTATTCGCAAAATCGGCCGAATGGTTCGGTTAATCGAATCAATTATTCCAATAACGGACATATATATGTATATATATATATATGATATATAATTATACGCGTGTGTATATATATATTAATATACAAATGTACTGTTACTCATTAGTATTAATCAATGAACGTTACTATGTAATAAATTTGTATACTTTATTACCTTAATATTATCATAATAAATATATAGCAATGTGTATATGTATGTGTACGTGTATGTGTGTGTGTGTGTATATGTGTACGTGTTTACGCGTGTAAATGTGTGACGCATAACCGAGCGATCGTTCGATTAACCGAACGCATATTGCGCGACTTCCTGTCGACCCGTTCGCCCGAGTGACCGATCATCGAGCCGCGATACGTCAGGACTAAAGCAAATCATATTTCTTTTATCGGTTCACGCGTTATCGGTCGTCCGAATCAATCGACGCTTTTAAAAATCCCTTCTATTTTTCTGCTCGTGACTTACCGTACAGAAATATCAACCATACTTAACTACCATACAGCACTCAGCTACTCGGAAGTCGAGACCAGTCTCGCATGAAGGAACCCCATAACTTCAAGCAATTTTTCTTAGACTCTTCACGACTCCTCAGAATAACTCTCGGAGAGTATCTTTCCACGCCATCGGAAGCTCTATCGTGTCGAATTTTTGGATGTCAACATCCACACATACCTTCCAATCGCTTTCTGTTGCTCTTCCGCCAAAAAACTCCAACGAAAACTTAATCTACTTCAGGTCCTCCATAGCGCCGTAATTAGCGAGCGATTTCTTGATCCTGAGAGCGGTTAGCCTGGCGGCAGCGTTGTGATACCAACATTCCTTCATTACCTTCGACATCACTTGCAGAGCCTATCGAGTAGGATAAATAATCAATCACAATATTTTCATATTTTACGTTCACTATAATTATATTAAAAATAAATAAAATATATTTTAACATTAATGTACATTTTATCCATTTCTATGTTTTATAATATGTACAATCTTATATCATATCATTTGGCAAACTTAGATTTTAAAGAAAGAAATGATCCAAAATTCTAGAATCATTGGAAATTTTATAATTATGCAATCATCATAATTTATTTTGCTATATTTTTAAACTGTATGATGATTGAAATATAAGTGCGAGCTATCGAACAAAGAAAATGATTATTTCGAGCTAAATTAATTCAATTTATAAATTGTTTTTATAAGTTGAATTTAATCTAAGCAGACCTGATTATTTTAAATTGCATTTCAATTATAATTTTCATCGCAATACTCACTTCGATCGACTGCCATCGATTCGGTATCGATGGCCGCTGTCGGTCGGTGCACACGACTTTCCGCATTTCCTCGATAGTAGGATCGGAAGGCACCAAGTCGTAAAAGGGCAGCTGATACTCGTCATGAATCCCACCGACGTTACAACGCCTAGCAATCTCCCAAAGGATCAGGCCGAGAGCGTACACGTCGGCCCTCTTGAACGAGTCGAAGTGGTTCATGTTTATCGTCTCTTCAAGAACCTGAAAGTAGAGAACGTTAGCGCGAATTGTCGAAGAAACTGTTTTCTTGACTGACCACAGACCTCCGCGAATTATCGTGGATATTTTTATATTTTTAATTATTATCTTTGTAATTATTCTTTTTCCGCATTTTAATTAAAAATAGACAAAACGTCACAGTTTTAATACCTATCATTTTATCTCTCAAATTTTTTCTATCAATAAAAATATTAACTGTCTAATTGTGTGCAATTCTTTCAATATCTCATTTCTTCTAACATAAAGGAATAAATTTTTGATCTTAGAATTAAATAAAGAAATTCAAATCAAATATCAAAAATCATAAAAAAATTATCAAACATTCCAAGAAATGGATCATTATTATCATTCATATATATTGACTTTTGATTTTTAAATATAGTTATGATTCAATTTTCTTTATCTTCCTCTAAAAGCGGGAAGTGTAGACGTCGTTATACTGAAGAACTAAAGAAATCTCTTTCGTATAGCAATGATAATTACCTCAGGCGCCATGTATCGCTTCGTGCCAACTCTGTTGTTCAGCTGTATGTCGACGGTATCCGTGATTACGTCGTGCCTAACAGCCAACCCGAGGTCGCCTATAGCGCAGGTACCATTAGTCTTGACGAGAATATTTTTTGACTTCAGGTCCCGGTGAGCGATGGCCGGCTTGCCTTGCGTACCGACTATTTCCATATGAAGATGCGCCAAGCCGGTGGCGATCGACAAGGCCATCCGTATCATACCGTTTGTGTCAACGGTCGATCTGTTGAGGTAATCAAAGAGCGAACCCTTCTCGTGATAATCCGTTATCAGCCATAGCTGTGTCCACGTGCCGTTATCTGCAAAATAAACAAATCGCTTAATCCACGATTTATTCCGCGGAGATTTAACTCGATTGCAGAGACCTTCATAAAGCAATGTACAGTGCAATATGATAAAATATGTAATAGAAATCGATAAAAAGCGTTTTAATATTTCATGTAATCTGAGCAAATTGTCTACTCACGAGAAATCTCCAAGAATAAAATGTTTTAAAACCGATAATATTTCATCATTTGTACAATTGTTTGACAAATTAGAGCTTATTTTAAAACCAAATTACACTTATTACAAAAATATAAATTAATGTAAGTAACAATAGCATATGATATAATACTCTAAAAATATTGCAGAAAATAGACACGCGTTGAATTATATCTTGCTGAACTGGCTTATTCGTTTCTCCGCAGGGTTTAGATTTCTTTATAATTTATGATATGAAAAATGCAATACCTTTGTTATCGGCAGCGATAAAACCTAAGATGTTGTCATGCCTCAGCATCACCGTCTGATAAATCTCGGCTTCCCGGAACCAAGACCTCTCCTCTCGCGAACTGAAGATCTTCACGGCGACGTTTTCGCCGCGCCAACGACCGCGCCAAACCTCACCGAAGCGACCCTTTCCGATTGTCTCGACGAGCTGAATCTGGCGCGCTATGCTCCGCTGTACCAGAAGTGGCAGGCCTACTTGAGAGAGAATGGACATTGGAGAACGTAAATTTCAGTATGATTGAAGATGACTCACGCGTGTTAGTAGATCTAACTAAGTGACAAGTAGAGAGAACGCACACACAATGCAAACACACACGATAATTACTTAATCGCAAAAAAAAATAGACAATATGTGTTGATTATTAATTAAAATTTTTCGCAAGTTATGTAACTTATAAATTTTAATGTAAGTGATGAATCACTTTTAAATCTTAGCAGATCCTATACCTATATAGGTGTAAAACAATATTGTGTGTGAATGCCTTTAAGAAATACAGTATAATAGTAATTAAAAAAATATTATTTTAACTTAATTTAAATTAATTAATTTATAATTAAAATAGTTCAGATATCATACTACTGTTGTACTAAAAGAATTTCGATAAATTAAAAAAAAATGGCATATAAATATTAATATATAATTAGTAATTATTTAATTACGTACAATAACTTCACATAGTTGCTAAAGCGGCAACAAGTCAAAAAATTACATTAAGATATCCGTCCTGTATTTGTTTATTTTATCAGAGATACCGAGATTCGTCAACGCCTTATATCTTATCACTCCACGTCACTCTAGTTCCGAAAGACAAACTTTAATTTAGTTTGACCTACCCGAGCCGCTGCCACTCGTAGTCATCTCCAACATGTCCCTGATAGTGACGCCGCCGAGTATTGGTCGGTCCGGAGCCTCCAGCGAGTCGTCCGGAAAGTGTCTGGCCGGCCTCTTTTTGGTCATGTGTATGTGATAGATGACCATAACGACCACGCAGATCGCACATATTGGCAGTGCTATCGTCAAGGCCATTTTCCAGGTGACCCACGTCGCATCGTCACCGCCCGACGACACTTTCGACGAAATATGTCCGGTTATTATTCGCACGTAGGAAGCACCGACGGCGAAACGCTAATTTCGACCGTGGCGCATCATGCTCAATGATGCCGTTGCATCATCATCATGCCAGAGATATTCAACTCGTGATACTCCCGAATGCTACGTATTGTTTCAAGATTTACGTAGACGCTACAAAATTGTAGTTTTAATGCAGCTGCGTTACGTAAAATATATAAAATTTATAAGTTTTCTCGTTGCCTAATTTTAATTATACATTTTTCATAACGCGTTTGACAAATTTTAATCGACATTCACATTCATATAAGAGAAAAGTTGAATACCACTGATTTTGAGACCAAAAAAAATTTGTGGAAATAAATAATGCAAAAATCAGCATTGCGCCATTGACTCAAAAGCGAGCAAGCGCGAGCAGATTTCTAGCAGAGAAAATTGAGAGAATTGTAGGCGTCAAGCGAAAAGCGGAAACATGCGAAGGCACATGCTACAAAATATTAACAGAACGAAGAACACAAAAGAGATTTCACGTATTAAAACATGCATGTTGCAAATTAATAGAAGAACTCAATGCAATAAGGATTTTAATTCCTTCCATCTGATGCAAATCATTCCAGTGACGCGCAGAACTTATTCTATGATTAAATCGTTGACAGATCCATGGCTGAAAAAAGATTTCCTAGAAACCTTTCCGCGAATTGGACAATCAATGTACAATTACGCCTCGGTTAGATTTAAGTTTGTCTTAATCGTTAATCTCAATTACTATTATCTTTGTCCGCTAATTTCGATGTTTATTTTGACACGGATTTTAACACTAAAACATTTAATCCATTCGTCAGATAAGCTACATCTTTCAAGCAAATCTTCCAAGCAGCCTTGAATTTTTTTTTACGAATCTTTGACAGATATTAATAACGCAAATTATGAACAAAAAACAATCATTTGTCGCTGTTTTTACTCATACCCGGAACAGATGATGCTTTGCTATTGAAACCCTGCGATCATACAATATTCTAGTGTTAAACCCAGAATAATCCTTTGTTCTTCGTAACGCAACTTCAACTTGTGTCGTGGTAGGTCGCATTACAGATAGACATTTCTCCAACGCTTCTTATCAAGACGTCCGCAGTACGTTAAGCACATAATTGAACTTACCTGCACGTCGCCACGTTGAAGAGCGTCAAAGCGTATTCTTTCAAAACACACAGGTGCTGTTACATCGGTCAGATATCGAAAAATCACAAAAACGTTAAGTGAAAATGGTGTTAAGTGGCATTCGAAAACCGCGATGGCATAAAACATCAGACAAGAAACTATTAGCTTAAATACCATTTGTTTATTTCTACTCACATTAGTTCGATAATTTGCCATTTCATTCTTACGATAAAATAAATCGCGGAATTTCTGTAAATTTATAAAAAAACTTATTTACGATGAAATAAGTTAATCAATATTTATGAGGTGTTTCATAGAAAATGCATAGCAAGCTTCGTATTTACATAGATATTTCACAATAAATTTCAATACAATTATTGCGACGTATATAAAATTTAAAGCAAAGATTAATTTTTTAATATCTATATTGACCATCAAAAATGAATTTTTCTCGGATCGTTCGAAACTGACAAAAGGATACGCATGTAGACTTGATCATATTATTATAATTATGAGAAAAATATCTCGCAAGTATAAATAGTTAAACTATGCGTATAATATAAATTACTTTTTCTAACAATGCTAGACCAACAAAAGCGTTTTTGAGTTGAAATTACTAAAATAAAGATATCAAGATATACAGCACATGAGAGTTGAAAGTGATAAAACTCGGATGAACCAAAGCAAACAACTACGGTCCATCGCGGAATCAAACAGTCGCAAAATCCAATCGGCAGAATTTATCGCGGGCCATGTACACGTAGATAGTACAAGAGTCGCGATATAATTGGATATTGATCCCCGTGAAGATTTCAATGAAGTGACAGGCAACACGGCGAAAAACAATTCATTGATGAATGATTGCACGTCCAACGAAGAGTCCCCCAACAGCAATGGGAAACAACGAAATGTACACCTTGCTGACATTTTACAAAAGAATATCGTTCGCAGAAATACGTTGTGTAAATAATTGTTTTTTTTAGAATTATCTGTTTCGTTGCATAAATAAGTTTCACAATTGAAAAATTAATACAAGTGTATGATAATTATCTTTTCCAAGTCACAAAAAAAAACATTGGATATTTTAATTTATAAATAAGTGTTCTTACAAATGACATTCCGTGGAAATATTTTTTATCGTTTTTTTACACAATTCTATCGTTCTTAATAATTCTTGACACTTAAGAAGACATAAAACATGACAAGTCGGATGGTTTATTATTTCCTGGTAAGCTATTACTCTTTTTATTTGTACTTATTGTTAATCAATCTTTTTTTAATTTCAACGGAAAGCAAATATAATAATTCTCAATGAAATAGATATTAAGAATGTCAAATATGTTAATTTTGCAGAAATAACAGTGCGCGGTATGTTCCCATATTGACAATATTGTAACTAATGGTTTAATGCAAAAATATCTTTCGCGTGTCACCGATAAATTCTCGTCAGAGTTGATTAAACCGCCACGTGAACGTCGAATTCCATAAACGAGCACGTACCGCGCGTCTCGTGCTGATATCAAATCGTTGCTGCGAGGGCACCCGACGGTAACTGGCCGTTCGCGTGAATTTATTGGGGCACGTATAATCGATGAATATCACTCCCGGTTTGTCCCATCAGCCCTTCGTCCAAATCGCGTGTACGCTTCGTTACTTTGCATTCCCGAAGCTGAGCTATTCTATTCGCACGAGCAAATTTCATCTCTAACGTCCGCTTCCATTCGCGGTTGAAATCTGCTGTTATGCAGATATTAACACGCTGTTATGCAGTTTTCCACAAATTTTCACGTTTACGCTAGGCAGATAATTTAGATTATAAATAAAATTTTTCACGAAAATATGTCCATCTCATTGCTAATTGTTCAACAATTCTTTACTAAAATCTCATTATAGTACAGCATTTTTTATACACTCTCAGCTAAAAAATGTGGTTTAACATAACCATAGATGTTTATTTTTACTGAATTATACATTCAAAAACATGGAGATAAGATATAAGAAATATGAATCTACTTTATTACACGATCAAGTTGTATTATACAGCAATCTGAACCGGAAATATAATATTATGTAATGTTAGAATGTTTTATTTATCATGTAAACAACATATAATAATGAAAAAATGTATTCTTATTCTTATATTATTAAAGAACAAAGCTTTTTAATAAATAATATTTCCAATTGTAAATGATTAGCAATATACATATGCAAACATTTCGATATCATTAGATCCAACCTTCCTTACCAAGTTCTGTTTATCGACTTCGAATCCATAATTAGAACAGCTGTGAGCCAACAAACTAAACGAAAGACTTGAATACTATCAATAGAAATTTTACGTGCAACATCTTGTTTTGATATGTACAAATAATTATTTCGTAAAGCCAATCATCGTTCGAGCTTGTAAAATGCAAGTACACTTATTAATTCGATGATTTAAATATAAATTAATATAAATTTTTTGAATATAAATATTTAAAGATATCAATATATATAAAAATATATAACATCTACAATTTTATATAATATTATTTAATTTTTGAAATATAAGAGAGTTGTTTGCAAAAAATGCTGTAGAAATTACAAACGTATGTTAATATGATACCGGAAAGGATCTGCGTTCCGAGATTAACATATTCTCAGTTACATGTGAAACGATAATACGAACCGCGAGGAATGCCTCCTAGTTTTATTATCAGATTTTCTAAGCGTTGCAAAATCCACCGGTATACGACCCCTATTATCTTATCAGCACGTAACGTACACAGAATATGTTATCTGCATCCCCTCTTTATTACGAACGGAAGATGCATGCGATATACGAGCGCGAGTCAATGATGTCATACATTTGCAATTCAGCAGAAAATAATTTTCACAAATTAAATTTCGAGAGTTTCGTGTAAAAAAATAGTGAGATGTTTAAATTAATAATTAAAGATTAAATTAACTGTTCTTTAGCTGACATTTTATTTAGCATTACAATATTAAAAGTTTAATGAGATAAAAACGCGGATATTCTGAATTCAATGTATCATAATAAGCTGTATATACTTATATAATATAATCTTTTTGAACGCGTTAAAGATAATGTGAGTGTTGTGTAATTCGAATATATCTCATATTATGCAACGAAACAGTGACACTATTCTGTAGCAGCAAAATGTCGAAATCTAGTTGTAAAAATCGACAAAAAATATCAATCACGGTAGAAAAGCGATACGATAAACGCAATTGTGATAAAGAAAACCGTCGGTCAATGGCAGCTATTTTGTCCGCTCCTTGTCTTGTCAGCTCGGCACAAGCAAGATAAATGACACGAGAACGTGAAATGTAGGGAATACGTGGGGAAGAGAGAAGTGTGAAAAGTGCGCGCCCAGACAATTCACAAAAGCGTAGAAAATCGATAATCGATACCCCGCTTTTCTCATCGCTGTTATATACGTGCCTCACCAAGGTCGCCATCGGAAAAGTCCTTTTCCCGCTGATTCGCGATCCACGAAACAAAAAGGTTTGAAACGCCGCAACGTCATTCGAACAATGACAGACTTGTGGCATAGAGAGAATATATTTCTACATTTTTACGTAAAATAAATTATAATGCAAAAAAACAAATTAAAACGTTATAAGATAGAGCTGAGAATCGTAAAACACATTGTACGAAGAAAAACATACAAGGAGTAAAGAACAATAAATTTAAATCCTGTACGTACAAACTTATCATTGCTTCGGAGTGAATTAGAAAAGCAATTGAATCTTGAGCAAATTTTGCGGTTGTATTACTTATCAAGATCCAATGGCTTACTTGATTCTGATGCCTTTTCCTCATTTTCTGAGAATTCGAAGCTTTTTCCTTGTTATATCGCCAAACATATGAATCAAGAGTATTGAATACGTAAATTACGTAAGTTGTTGATGCAACGTGTTTGAAAGTTACTAAATCATGATGACACAAAAAAACAGATAACATATATATATTTTAGATGGATAGTTCGAGAACTCTCTATCACAGTTGATCAATGCTTCGATAAAATATCGATAAATTTATTTTCGTAAATTTAATTTAAACTAGATCAATTATTGAATAAATTATTAATAGAATAAAAAAAATAAAAAAACATGCCTTATTCACCCGATGAATTATTTATTTATTTTTGTGTAACTGAATAATGCATAACAGCTGTTGTTAGTTTGCATAAATCATCTCGTTGCGACTCAGTGATTACAGAGGCAAAAGCTATTGCTTGCATCATATACGGACGGCTGATCCATTCAGAACAGACAAGACAGGAAATGCATCGAATGATACATTGCCCTGTACATACATTATCTTGATGAATATCATTTATAATAAGAATGATCATTGGTAGAAAATTTGTGACGACTACGACTTATTGCGCACATTCGAAAATGCATATATATTCGATATTAAAATTTCACTTAAATAAAATTATTAAAATAAATAAAGTCTGTTCGGAATGAGTCCGAAAAATTGTTCAGGGAGACGAAGAAAAAGCATAATCATGATTATTAATAAAAATTCTGAAATTTTTTAAATTTTCCTCAAAAATTTCTTTTTTTTTCTAGCTAAAATATAATTATCCTCGTCTTTTTGTCTTAAATTTTGCCATTGAATCTTTTGAACTTGTTGACAAATTTGTTTTCGCGAGGATCTCGTTCAGCAAGGAAACGAACTTTGCGACCGCTTTTAACTGCGATTTATTGTACCTCCTCCGAGGTGATTCGCGAAGCGAGAGTACGGCCGACTTCTGGACTCGTGAGTAGGAAAGGAAGGCCTTAGATCGCGATTGCAGTAGTCGGAATGATCGCAACAGGCGACCACGAATTCGATGCCATCTGGACCGCGTAGCGTACTGTTCGTAGTGCACCAGACAGAATATTCGTTGTCCGGGAAGAAGTTTGCCTTATTGTAACACCTGAGAAAATAATTTATATGACGAGTACTGCCGCGGGCCAGGTGTTTACATCACCGAAAAGTGGAAACATTCTTTACGACTGTCGTAAAGATGACGTAACGTGCTCGTAGGCGTCGCGGATAAAATGTATAGCAGACTTTTTTTCTTCACTTGACACAAGATTTTAAAGAGACGATATTTAATAGGTTAAAGAGAGACTAATGACAGCCTTTCAACTAGCTGAGTGTGCTAGACGAAGTTTAATAAGCTGTAGAAAAGTGATTAGCTAGATTTCATTGCTGACGTCCATTAGCCTAAATCGCAATTATTTCGTTTTTTTTTCTGTCTATATTATAATTACAACTATAATTTAAAGCCATGGCCTAAAACTTTAGAATTATAATTTAAAAGAAGGAAAATAATTACTAATTAAAGAGTTAGCAAGCCAAAGATGTAATCTTTAGAAAAGTCCATACATGCTTAAGAAAAATTTGTAAAATCATCGCACTAACAACAAGCAATTGTTTTAAAAAAATTTATATTTCGATAATAATAAAATGTTTTATTAAAACAAAATTATTTAAAAAGCTTATGAATTTTAAAATCATATTATTTTTCTTAATCACATATGTAAACTAATGTGGTGTAAGAATATATACATACAGTGTTTTGTAAAGTTTGCATCGTTTCATATTATCTAATAAATTCATCGATAAAAAATTGATTAAATGCTATCTTTTTTTCTTACAACTTATTCGTTCTAGATATTTTGATAATAAATTAAACTTCTAAGAAAAATCGATTTAAAAGCAAAGTTTACAACAAACTTTTATTCTTTTGATTATTTCACATAAGCTTTAATTAAACTTAAAATTGGTTATCAAAAAATTGTACGTTAAATATTTTCACAAAGTTTCATAAAGTTTCTTCTCTTGAAATTAATTCCGTTAAATAAATTGATGCAATATATGTGATGCAAATCTTACAATACACTTTGTAGATTAACCAAAAAATCCATATAAATATTGATAGCTAAAAATGTTTTATCTTATTATTTGTAAACAAGAAAATATATTATCTTAATGCGCTTCAAATTTTGCTGTATAATAAAAATAATCAACGGTATAAACAAAGATAATAAGTACATGAAATCAGAAGGCATGCGGAAGAGAAGATAATAATACTTTCAATCCTATTTAACCCTTATAATCTCGGAAGATATTCTCAATTTTAGTGCAGTGAAGATTAATAAAAGGAACTTGACACGAGATGTACTTGTAAAAGACGGATCAATAATAATAGAATGCAAACGATTGACTCAACAAATCTAATACAAATCACGGCTGGTTCAAGATCTCGTGTCAATCTCCTCGGTGCTTCTTGATATATGATAACGGGCCGACAATGTATGTACAATATATTTTTGCGAAAAATAAAAAAAAGAAACTACAAAGTTTTGCAAAGAGTTTGAGGGTTATTACAAGAGACGAGAAAGATATTTACAAAAGCCACCCTTTCTCGTGGGTCACGCTATCAGAGTCACTACAAGATAGTACTGTCATTAAAGAGTGCAGAGAGAAGAGAGCTGTGGCAACATGCTACTGGTCCTTTCCGAGTTCACTCAGGAGGACTTCCGGCGTACGATGGGCTTGTGAGTAAGAAAATACGGGAGGATTGCCTTGAAGCGACTACAAGCTCCATAGGTGGCAAACATGTCGATCGTTTTGTGACACAAATAAACGCATAACGCGTCGTATCTTATCAATCCAAATTCGTTATCATGTCTCTTGTTTTTCTATAAAATCTATTTATCTCATGCTGATCTCAATCTAATTTTAAGATAAAAAAAATATCGTATTATCTCAATAAATTGACAATTTATCATACGTCATCGATCAATATGGGCGTGTGCTGCTCGGGAGGGAAAAATGAAAGAGTAATGGAAAATAATGAAAAATGCTGAACAATTTTCATGCTTATCTATGCTACTTGATACTACGTCTATAAAGGAAACAATATCTTAGAAATCGGCTCAATAGAATCAACAATTCAATTAACTTTTATGATGCAATAATAAATAAATAGATAGTAATTAAACATTCTTATTTGTTTATAAAATAAATTAAAATAATACGTCACACATAATATATTGATCTAACAGATTATATTTGGATGGGATAATCCTATTGATATTGATAATCCTATTGATATCTATATATGACAATTTATCTAGATTCCGTAATTTACTTAGATATTCAATTCTGCATTTTAATGCGTTTAACTATACAGACCCCGGTGATAACGGGACTCTCTCTGCAATATTTCATCGCGGTTCAAGAAACCGCGATATAAAATAGTCTGGCACGTTGCGCTTTATTGGGCGCAATGAACGGCGAATGAGACAGCGCAACGCGCATCCGCAAATACGCAAGTAATGCATCGCGTGTGCACGTCTGCATGTAGCGTGTTGCAGCGTCGTGGAAGCTTTCTACTCTTCACACAATATATATAGTGCACATTGCATTAATATGGATATAGAAATCTACGCGCGGTGTCCCAAAATCATCGGATGATATTTCAGAAAACAAATTCTTCGACCATAATTTGAAGTATTCCTTCTTTTTTAGTAAAAATATGATTTTAAAATACTAATTTTTTTCTATTTATAAACGATATAACAATGTATTTATAAACAATGTTCTATTTATAAAAATGTAGAGAGTTCGATCAATTTAAATTTAAAAATATAAATAAACCAAAAATTTTATAATTGACATGTATTTGATATGTATTTTACTTGATTTCATATTAAATAATTAAATGATTTGTATCATTTTAATTTGAGATCTAATTATCAAAATGGTTAATACAAAAAATTGTATCAAATAACAATTTATCTTTTTATTAAAAAATGTCAACGAATTGAAATAATTTATTCCTGAAATATATTAAGTAATTTTGGTACATTCCGTACATATATGCATAGATAACGGCGGCGACAGCGCGACAGAGAGCATGTCAGAGCGAGTTCAAAATGATAGTGCAAGCGAGAGAAAATCGTGTACATTGCTGGAGACCATGACGTAACGCATTATTCTGATGATAAAAAAAATAGCCCACGACTTGGTTAATTCCTTGACTACATGAAAACGCTCTAAGCAGTATTTGAATCATTTCCACTTTATCATTAGAAAAAGCTCCAAATTTTGCGCGAATTCTTTGGCTACGCCAATATTTTTCTTTTTTCTTCTAAGTCATTCAAATTTTTAATAACAAATTTTTAGTATGATAAATGTTCATAAATTCTTCCATTTAATAATTAAACTTGTTTTGTGAAAGAAAATAATATATATATAAAACATTCTTAATAATTACAAATATATTGGTATAGCATCATTATTTCTTTGCTTTCGTGAATGATTGAATTACGTATATTCCATTATGACAGAAAATGATAGTAACAATAACATACACATTAAAATCTTTACACTTTGAATTCTAAATAATAGAACCGTTTTAACACTTAAGCAATTGCGTTGATTAGATCAAACTTTGAACTTAGGTACAGTTGCGTTTATGTTATATATCGAACTGCTTATTTTGTTTTTATTCTTCTTAATCCAAGGTAATTAATTAATTTTTTGTAAGTATTACAAATATTTGCAATGCTTACGTTATTAAATTTTCAACTGTCAAACATTATATCCTCCAACAATGTATTACTCTCGATTCTACAGTTCGGCATAAAATGCATAAAACAAGAGAGAAGAAAAAAAATCTAAAGTAAAGTGCAAAATAGTGAAAATATGACAGATTACGTGGCAGAGACAGAGGCATAGTGAGGAAAAAAAGAAAAAAAAAGAAAGTGAGAAAGGAGAATTGCAGCAAAAGCCCGTGCCACCTGCAGAGTTTTCGTAACTTCCAGGTCTATTTGAAACTGTACCTTCTTTGTTGCGAGGATGCAGCTGGGGTGACAGATCCCGATTGCAAAAATCCTCTTTGCAGCACTCGATGACGAAGGACGTGTTTCGCGAGTCGCTCGTCATGCAGAAGATGCGCGGTTCGGGCTGCGATCCCGGCAGATGTTTATTCACGCACCTTCAAGCCGATTTTGCACCAGTTTCAGAAAACGAAGCGAGAATTTGGGATCGCGCGCGATGTATTTTATACAGAGATACAAAATATCGAGAGGAACGTATCGTGCGGTTTCAAGAGAAAAACCGATACGAATGGAAATCCGATCCTCTGGTAGTACAACGGAAGGTGATTAGCGCGCTTCTAAGGCTACATTGTGAGTCCGCCTCTATTTGCCGATATCGCCGATTATCTTCTACGCCATTTAATATGGTTCGAACGCGTTAAATGTTCTATTAACGCGAGTAAATGTTCACGCGCTGATCATTTATATTCTCTAATTTTCTACGCAACTAATTATATTTCCATTAAATTCTTTTCTTATTAATATACATTTTTTTAGATTTCTGAAATTTTAAATTCCAACTCAAATTCTAAAATTTTTCAATCTTTCGATTTATAAACAACCAATTATTTTATTACATTACTAAAAATGTCAGACTTCCGCTGCGGATCGATCAAATTTATTTAATTTGCCTGATAATGCCGTTCTATTTCCGCTATCTAATTTGCCTATCTAACTGCGTTTGCGATTATTATTCAAATTTTAATTATCATTTCTTCCAATACTTTTTTAAAAATATTTTAAGTAAAATCTTACTTAAATCTCATAACAAAATAGTATGACGGTCAATTTCTTTCAAATAAAATAAAGCTGAAAAAACTTTGTTGAATAAATTAAATTATATAAATATCCACATCCGTCCATTAATCGATAATGACGCGGTTTTCGATATACGTGTCCGCCTTGGATACGCGCCCGTTGGGTTATTTTGCATCACAATCCACACGGATGCGAATGCTACCGAGGGAACAGGGTCACCGAGCAAACTCCAGCAAACCGAAATACTCAAAGAAAAAAAAAAAAAACCGGGAGAGGATGCGAG